TAACAGCACAAGGAACTGCATCACTCAGTATATCATGTGTTACAGCACATTTATAACGAGCCTTTCTTGTTATTAAATGGGTTGAGGCCTCGTCAGGATCTTTAACTTCTGTCCATTTGACATCTATAAGGTCTTTCATTCGTAATGGTTTTCCAGATAAAGGACAAGTTACAGTTGTGTCCTGAAATAATGAAAAGAGACTTATTACATGTTTTTGTGTAATTTCATAAATATAACAGGCATGTTATTACAGGTTGCTAATTTTAATTTCTTTGAGCTTGGAGTTTCGGAGGGTACCCAAAAACTTGGCAATTTTTTGTTTTTTTCCATTAACCATATTTGAAATGGAACTGGTACTTGAATCATCTGCAAAATAAATCATCTTGTTATTTCAACTAATGATGCTGCAAGTGATTCAAACAATTACCTTTTGAAGTCGAGCTCACAATATTTTTTTCTAATTTCATAAATTTGTTGAGATTACTTTGGCGCTCTGCTGCAGCTATTTCGGCCAATTCTGCCTAAGAGTAAAATATTAGTTTCTAATTGATATTAATTTTTTTCACTTTACATATAAATATATGTTTTTTAATCATATCTTAAATATTATCGTATCTATCTTTATCTATCTAAAACAATAGTTTCTAATTGATATTAATTTTTTTCACTTTACATACAAATATATGTTTTTTAATCGTATCTTAGCATTTTCTTAAAAGAACTACTTAGGAATTAAGCATAATGATAATAATTGGGTTATATTGTGAATACTACTGTTCATTTTTAGTAAATATCCTTTATATTTATGTTTCAACAAGTCGCTTATGATCCAGACTATTACTTACTTCTTCAGATTTTTTCTGTTTTTCATATTCTTTTAATTTTCTGCTTATTTCATTCTTCTTGGTGATTATGTACTGAAGAATAGCTTCTTTATCAAAAAGATAACCTTCTTTTCTGGAACATATGTGTTTTTTTAGTATTTCAATTTAAGTTAAATATGTTTTAAAAATACACTTATACTTACGTTATTACGGGTATTTTACAGGGCTGAAGGGACAATGAGCAACAGTCAAAATTTTTAAGTGAATCTTTCCCAATTCTTTTACTATTTGTCCCATATCCAGAGGCCTCGGCGTCTTTTTTCTTTTCGTGATAAGTATATACGGCACCTGCAGTGCAATTTCTAGCGTGTCTAGTCATTTTTACTTTTTTTTTGAAAAACTATCAGAACAGATTAACTGCGGATTAATTATTACATTGTCTAGTATTTATTTAATTATCTGTTTATTTTCTTTCTGTCAAGTCAATGTCTAATCTGACAGCAGGTTATTTTAAACAAACATGAGTTGCAGAGATACCAAAAACAAAAATCAAAATATTTAAAAAAAGGTTTTTAAAGCAGTCATAATATTGATAATTAGCCTCTTAGGCAATATATATTAACAATGATATCATTAATATAATCTTTTTAGCACTTATACGAATGACGTACACAAAGATTATAAATTTATATATATATATATATATATATATATATATATAATCGGTGCACTTTTATGCGGCGTATTTATTAATATTTTGCTATAAAAATTTCGCTTTTCAGTAGCTTCGCGTTCAATTAGCTTTGATCAGAATAGTGCATATACATATTGCATAAAATATAAAATAATCTCAAATAGTAGTATAAGCATATTACTTACAACAAAATTCAGTTTAATATCAAACATATTTTTACTTAATTAAAGTTTTATTTATTGCATCATGTTTACAAAATTGAGTAGTAGTACAGTAGCTTCAGTAAATGCATTGCAAATGCAAAACCATATATTTAATAACAGTAACAATATATTAATATATAAAAACGATAACAATTCAATTAATTGAGTCCAATAGATTCAATGAGTGATTGAACTTTCTTAACATAGGCTTCTTTAGCTGCATTGGAATCCATGCCTGATTTGTTTTTCCATGCTTCCCACTTTGCCTTGCCTTTAAAATCCAGCATGCCAGGTTTGTCTGAAAAATTCATTGTTCTATATTGTACTGTTAATTACGTAAATATGTATGAAAAAAAAATTTACCAGTGTTACAATCCCCCACACTAGCTTGTTTAAATAACGCATATATTTCTAGCAAGTCATCATTTCCAGGCTGTGTTTTTAGTTTCTTTACATCTTCTACAGCTTTGTCAAAATCCTACAACAAAAAATGATGTAATTGATATTTCTATTGTAAATTACCCAATACTAATTGATATGAATACAGTCGGTACAAAGATTGAGTACATACTTTAAAATCTAGATCGTATTTTTTTTTTATTAAGGATTATACGTGAATAAATATTATATCTTACCACAAATATACATATTAATAATAATATTCTTACCTCGTTAACAGACATTGTGATAGGTTAAACAGCTACACTAAATTAACCAACCTAAAACTGAGCGGTGATCTGTCACTCCCAAGATGCTGTCAGGTCAATCGAAGTTCAATTAATTTCATTGCACAATTTGCAGGGTGGTCAACTTGATCTGGTATCAAGCAATAGTGTTGCCATATAACTCAAATAAGACTATTATAAGACGGCATCTTCTTTTATCTATGGACGGCATTATGGGCATTACGGTATTGTTTTCCTCATCCGACCAGAAAAATTACGAATTTTTGAATTTGAACCGATAAAACGGATTCAGTATGAACTAGTGGTATATGGCATCCATAGATAAAAGAAGAGTATGATGGCATCGTATCTTAAGGCAAATTGCTGGTAATGATATATCTCTAATTTTCATTATTCGTATTTTATAGACGAAATATAAGAGCTAATAAGTTTGACGATGACGTTTATCGAATCGATTGCTTCGGGAATCATTCAAATCAGTTGTTACATACGGCCAAAATACATACCCCCCAAACACACACATCCTTTTTTTTAAGGTATGCCAAAATATTCAGAAACTCTGAAATGTAAAAATATGCAAAAAAATTATTTCCATTTTAATTTTTTTGGACGATTACTATAATTGACCCTAACGGAAGTTAACAAATAAAAATTGTCCATAAAAATAACATTTTAACATTTTCATTTTTGTATTTACCGCCTTATCTGTGATCATTTCTCGGGTACTAATATTATGATCATGGCAACACTAATCAAACTAATAAACCGTTGCAAGAGACAGTTTATGTCAAATCTTAGTTCATACTGAATGAAGCATTCTTTTGTTTTATTACATTTTAATCAGTTTTATCGTGTTGAAGTTCTATACCAGTTGTATAAGCTAATATTTGCAATGGCCAAACTACGCAAAGGTTAGTGTTTTAACGATACAATTAGTATTTTTACTTTATGCTTAATATTTTGTTAATTATTGATTGTAGAAAAAGCTAGTAAAGAAACGCTGTCCAACTCGGGATCGACATCAAGCTTTCACGAAGAGCAAAGGATTTCACCAGTTGTACAAAAGAAACTCAGAGGAAGAACTATTGCAGCAACGTCGAAAGTCATAAAAAGGAAGCCTAAAAAGGCAAAAGCCAATGCTAAAAGTAACTATTATACAACATTTCTTGAGCTTAACTGATAGCAATAGATATATTTTATTTATTTAGCATTTCACAATTTGAATTAATATTTAAAATAATCATGGATTACAGTATAATTATTATATGTGCAACAAACATAATTGCACGAACATGTATATAAAAGGTTTAATATTTACAGACTTGAAGAATAGGACATATTCTTTATCGCCAGTTAAAATTGAACAGTGTGCAAATGAAACTATTTTGCAGACTCCTATTGCATCATCAACATGCATCAAAGATATTGCATTTACTTTCTGTGATAGCATCGTTGATGAAAACACTGAAGTTATAATAAAAGCTGAGAAAAAAAATACCACCTTTGATAAAGAAAATGATATATTAAGTGATGAACCTACTAAAGAAACTTGTCAAGATGAATGTTCTATAAAAGATCATATTAAAGCTCCAAGTGTGGAAAGTAACATTTCAGACACAAATAGTGATGGTAAAACATTTAATGAGGAGAAGACTGCTCTAAAAGTGAAAGATAATAATGGTGGAAGAAACAAGACTTCTGTTTTGAAATCTAATTTAACTAACATCCCAAAAAAACAGTCCGCAAATAAACAGATTGCCTACAGGTAGGTTTTTATTATATTTGAATTAGTTGCAACTAATGTACCATGGTACATATCTGTGAGTTAGTTTCTTTTTGACATATGATTTTATTTTAGTTCGATTCCCTTGCCAAAATTTAATCTTCAAAAGCATGTCGTCAAGAAAAATCTGGCAACAAATTCCAAGTTGCAAAGTTGTAGCTCGAAAGTTGCTTTTGGCAGTGTCGAAATTATACCAAAATCTAATCTTAATGATATTTCAAGTAAGTATAACTTTGTACATTATTTAAGTTTAAAGGTTGGTTAATAACGTTAGATATTTAGAGTTCTAAATTGTATTATCTTGAACCAATATTTTTATAATGGGTGTTAATTATATGATACAATAATGTTAAAAACTAGTATAATTTTTATTTCTATTATTTTTGAAGTGTTTAATTTTACTTATTTGTCAATGAACTAAATGAATGTTTATTACTAGTTAATTGACAAATTAATCTAATTTTCAGGTACTTCTACTGATAGTTTGGAAAATTTTGTAAATGAATTTTCCACACCTCCTTATACTGCAAAGGACAAAACTATCGGTAAGTTGCATGAAATTCAAATAAAATTTTGAATTCAAATATGAATATGGTGATACATAATATAACAAGTTTTTTTTTTCTAATTATAGGTTGCACTCCTAGAATGAGAGCTAATTCTATCTTGGGTCTATCAGATTCAAATGAGAAGGTATCAGAAAAAAATATTTCTTATGTCAAACCTTGTGTTATCAAGCCTCCAGAAGTTACCGGTTTGTAATTCTTTTTGTAATAATTATAAATATATATGTAAACAAATAATTATATAAAATTTCCTACAGATAGAGAGAATGAAACTTCAATCCAGAAAAAAGAACCTACAAGAATTCCTCAGAAAAAAACAATCACAAGTGGTTAGTATAAAAATATATACTAATATATAGGCAGTATATTTCTAGCATATATATGATATGTATGTGTGTATATATCTATCTATTTACATATTTTCTTATATCTAATCAATTTTGAACAGGTATTCGTCGAGAACTTAGAAAGTCTGCATCACAGCCATTGTTGACACCAAAAGCTAAAATTGATAAACCTAAACCATTTGTAAAAACTATATCTTTTGCAGGTGAGTTGCTGTTTTATGAAATGGCCGTATGTTTTAGATAATATTTTAGAGTTAATATATATTTATATAGTATATAGAGATTAGTAAGATAAATAAATAAATGTAACTTTTTTGTAATGTACTATCATGTTTAAGCACTTGGAATATATATATATATATATATATATATATATATATATATATATATATGAATTTTTAACTTCCCGTAGGGTAAGTTATAGTAATCGCAAAAAAATCGAAAATGAAAATTTTTATATATCTTTACGTTTCAGTGGTTTCTGAACATTTTGGCATACCTTAGAAAAAATGGATGTATGTGTGTGTGTGTGTGTGTGTGTGTGTGTGTGCGTGTGTGTATGTATGTGCGGATACAAATTTTCGTCGACGATTTCGGGAACACGGATCAACCGATTTGAATAATTCAAAAAACATTCGATTCGTATTGATAAGGAGACGTGCTGATTAGTTTTTGGCGAAGGCAGGTCTAGCCGTTCCTGAGATACGGGGCAAAAAGTGCCGAAAACGGTAACTCAGTTTTTAAGAGAACGGAGCGTCCGATTTCAATAATTCAAAAAACATTTTACTTGTATTGACAAGATAAAGAATTGATCAAATTTTCATAAAGGCAGGTCTAGCGGTTTCGGAGATCTAACGAAAAAAGTAAAAAAAATGCCATTTGGCGGTCAAAAATGATCATTAGACATATGCACATCAAATTGTCAGATATTTTATAGAGATTTTAACAATAAGTATAAATTTTGTTTATTTTTCTATGGGTTCCGTATCAATGTTTACCCGTTAGACAGCGACGCCGCGCTTACGCGCTTCATATTTTGTCTCTATGCAGTTAAAGCAGTACGATTGCTTTGAAAAACAAGTTCAGATCTTCCAAAATATGTCAAAATAAAAAAAACATTTTTTTTTCAAAAAAAAAAATTTAAAAAAAACATTTTTTTTTTTAAATTTTTTCAAAACAAAATTTTTTTTTCAAAAAAAAAGTAATTTTTTGTCCAATTTATAGTTTCTCAAAAATCTTATTTTTTCTAAGTAAATTTTTTTCAAAAATGTTAATCGTTTTTAAAAAAAATAATGATTTTTGGTACGGGAAGTTCCAGCAATTTGCCTTAAGGCACGATGCCCTAATTGCCTTAAGACAGAATTCCACTTACAGCTAGTTTTATTTTTAGATCAATCTGGAAATGATACTAAATATGTCTCTCGCCTAAAAATGCCAAATTTTGCATTAATCCATAACAAGAATTTTAATAAAATGGAATCTGTAGATGAGTATGCCAAAAGAAAGGAGGCGCGAGCTAAGGACCTAATGACGCCAAGTAAGTTCATAAAAAGTTTTCTAATCAATTTTCATAAATTTATTTATAATTTTTATGTAGAATCTGAAAGAAGAATAGCAACTAAGATCAAGAAAACGCCTGTTGCTAATACTAAGCTCGAAAATAAAACGGTATTCGATTTTCGAGGTATTAAGAAAAATGAAGCTATTAGTCGACATGAAAAGCATGTAGATATGGCTAAGAAGATTTTAAAGAAACCCGTTGACTTTTCAACAAAGCGGCAGCAAATGTTGAAAGGGGTAAGATTAAATAAAAGATTTGATCTTCAACTACAATTCAGACAAGGGATATGAAATATTTATTGTTATTTTTATATGAATTTTATATTTATTTGGATTTTAATCATTTTTACTGGTCATGAAGCTTGCATATGAATGAATTATGTAAGTTTAAAATATTGGAGATTCTCCAATTTTGTAATTTTTTACCTGATATTTTTAAAGTATATGAATGCTTTCAAAATCCCAAACATGTGCCTATAAATAGATATTTTTATTTTTGTGATAAGATATATTTTATGTGTATAATATATGTTTTGAATGAATATTTTAAAAGTTTAATTATTCCATGATCTGATCTGCAATAAATAATTGTGTTGCAACAGCATTCAGTATGCATTTCAATTTGAAATTAAGAAAAAATTTAACTGTCCTGGAACGAATTAATGGCATTTCATTAAGATGAAATAAAAACTTGTTCTGTGATAGTTCTCCTACTTTAATTTGTACTGATTTCACTGGGAGTCCTTATCCCGATCATTAAGAAGCCAAGCACGAGTTGTTATAAATTTCATTTCAACCCACCACAAAATTACATAAGAAAAATATCTGAACATAACCATAGATACTTATATTATTATCTAAGATCACATATATTGCAAATGTATCATAATTATTCTCTGCACAAATAGATACATTTATTTGTCATTGATAAAATTAAGAGTAATCCAATTCAAGAGCAATTTCATTATCTAAATTGTTAGTTTTTGTTTGATTCTTAAAAATATTAAATTTGTGTCGGCGCGTGTGACGTGCTAAATCGCTGCTTGAAACAAATTTCATATCACAGTAGGAACATGAAAACGGGCGTTCAAAAGTATGTGCTCGCCTTATGTGTTCATTCATATCGCCTGAAGATCGAAAACGCCTGGAAAAATAATTTATTAATAGAAATTAGATGAAAATCCATAAGGAATTGCATATATAATTTTTTCTCTGTTTACCTTTGACAATAATTACAAACATAAGGTAGTTCCCCATTATGTATCCTTTGATGAGTTCTTAGTGCACTGCAATGTGTAAAACCCCTTCCACAGGTTTTGCAAACATGCTCTTTTAAACCATCGTGTGTCTTTTCATGAGATGCTAATGAACCTTTTTCATGAAATGATTTTGAACACCTTGTGCAATGATATTTCTTTTCATCATCATTCTCTAAATCATTTATAGGTGAATCAAAATTGGCAGTATTATCTGTGGAAATAATATTGTGATATGTAGCACGGTAGACAATGGGAAGAATTAATTAAATTTGTTTTGTTTTACCTGATGAATTATTGGATTTATTTTGGCTTTTTTTATGGGTTCTCATATGCGCTGTCAATTTTGCTGGTGTGGCTACTGCATGCCCGCATTTGCAAATATATTTTCTGATAATTGATTTAAAATAGTTATGAATTAATTAATGCAATAGGAAATAATATTTAATAGATAATTATTAATTAATTTCAATTTTACATTGACTATATGTTTTATTATCTTTTAAGAAAAGATATTTGATTTGAAATTCAGGTGAAAAATGTTTAAAATCTAAAATCTTACTTTGGTCTGGTCTTTTTTGTTTTTAAATCTAATATGTCCTGCTCCAGATTTTCTAAACCAGATGAGTTGTGATGGATTTTCTGCATATGCAAATATAATTTCAAATTTGAGAAGAAAGTAGCCTCGCATATGTTACATGTTAATTTTGTTTTGGCATGTGATTTCATATGTCCAGCTAGACCGGTCTTTTCACTAAACTGTTTGTTGCAAATTTTGCAAAAAATTGCTTGTTCATTATGAACCTTTTGCATATGAGTGATCATAGCACTAGAGGACATAGTAACAGCACAAACACGGCATTTTATTTTAACATTTTTCTTTCTTATAGGAGAAACATAAGTATCAATATCTGTCAATTTTTTAGGCAGTCTTCTCGTTCTTCGTTTCAATATTTGATCAGATTTTGATTCAAAATTTAAATCTATGTCTGTGAATTGGTCTAAAGTTCTATCAGGACTTAAACAATTCTCATTAAAATATTCATATGGAGAGTCTGTGCTTTCATAAAAAACATTACCGGATATATTTATTTCATAACTAGCATGTGATATAGGAGGACTATTTCCCAATATGGTATTTGAATGTTTTAGATCATTTTCGCTTTGCCCAACTTCCATTTCAGCTCCTAAATTCTCAGATATTAATGGTTCCATTTTGTAAATATTACCTGAGTGATCTGAGTTTAAAGGATCTTTTTTCATTATGTAGCCCATACTTGGATTAATATTTAATTCTTCTATATCGTTATCACTGATTTCCTTGTTATTGTTTTGAACAAGTTCTCTTAATAGTAGGTCGGAATATTCACATTGCTGTTTGAATTGGTAAGCAATGTTTACTTTATCTGCACATTTGTTGCATATTAATGTAGGTAAACCGTCTCCTTTAATAACCTTGGGTGGAATAAAATCATTCATTAGGTTACAGAATAATTAATCATTAATTTAGTTCCAATTAAATGTAAGATGGAGAAAATAAATTACTAAACTTAAAATGAAACATATGACTTAAAGCCACCTTGAATTTCTTGGTGAATACTTATTATATGAAGATAACTCGTATGCACATTAATATGCTTTTGTTAAAATAAATATGTTCATTATACAGTTAATTGAATGTTTAATATTTTCTTTAAATGTAGGTCGGCATTAATATCTTATTTTGACTTATAATTAAGCTTGAAATTAATTTTAATGTAGTCTACCTTTACTTGTGCACAAGCCATTATTTTCTCTGATATATGAACTGAATAATCATCATCGAAAATTGATGTTAAAATATCATACACTCCGTCCTCCATACAAACTCTACAGATTTTTGACAAATTATTTACCATTGTCATATCTGCAATAACAATTTATTTTAAAAATGATAGATAAGTGATTTCAAAACGTCACATAATGTTTATTAAATAAATGGTCATTAATATTCTGGTCAACTTTATAACGAAGCAAAAACAATGTGTTTGACAGATGATTTAAATTCCACCTTGCGCGTACAGATGGCGGTCGTTTCGGTTTTAATTGATAGTTGGAGCATGAGCCTGTAACTGTCATCACGTTTGGCCGTTGTGCAAATTAACAATTGTAACTTATCAGATAAATGTAAAAGTTTCCAGTGTTTTTTAACAAGTGTAAATTTAATGATTCTGATGCAGGGGTCATTAACCACAAGTAAGCAACACCTTTATTTTTGAAACTTATATTACTATAATGTGATTATTAAAAGTATCCTTAATTTTGCATTGAAACTTTGTTAAAACTGTCTTTCATGAAGTATACGTTCATAATTATTGATCATTTGCAAACTGTTCTTGAATCATGTTGGAATTATCACTCCCTTTTTTTAACTTCCCGAAGGAGAAATTTGTTTTCCCGATTTTTTGACCCGGATTGTCGCGGTTTTTCGAAAATTAATAGCTAAATTAACAAACGTTATGCAAACAAACGAACAAATGCTAAGTTTTCCAACTAACTATGAAGAAAATTGAATAGAACATATAGATCGTAAAATATAAGATATATTATACGATAATATCATAGATAAAAAAGTATTACATATAATCGAATAACAAAGGTCTTACTAAAAGTGCGCAATTCTTAGTAAAAACTAGTGGGACGCATGGCATCTTAAGGCAAATTGCTGGAACTTGCCGTACCAACATTTTTTTTTTAAAAAAAGATTAACATTTTTGAAAAAAAATTACTCTGAAAAAATTAGATTTTTTGAGAAACTATAGTTTCTCATATTTATATTTTTTATTTTATTATTTTTAGTTTATATATAAATTTTTGATAAAAATTAACTTTTTTTTTTAAAAAAAAAATAGACTTTTTAAAGAAAAATTTCATTTTGAAATATTTTGGAAATTCTGAACCTTTTTTCAAAGCAATCGCACTGCTTTAACTGCTCAGAGACGAAATATAGAAGCGCCGCGTAGCCGTCTAACGGATAAACATTGGCACGGAGCCCATAGGAATGTAAACAAAATTTATACTTATTGTTAAAATCTCTGTAAAGTATCTGATAATTTGATGTGCAGATGTCTATAATGATCATTTTTGACCGCCAAATGGCTTTTTTTTTTTTTTACTAGATATCCGAAACCTTTAGACCTGCCTTCTTGAAAATTTGCCTTCGCCAAAAACTAATCAGCACGTCTCCTTATCAATACGAATCGAATTTTTTTTGAATAATTCAAATCGCTTCATTCGTGTATCCGAAATCGTCGACGATTTTTGCCACTAGTTTTTCATGTTCTACTGGCAAAATATCAGTAGATATTATATCATCTTATAATCACTGCCTACATATTGTTGTTGTTTTAAATATTTTGCATTCCTATAAACGCCCGATAGAGTTTTTTCAGTATAGCCATTTATAATTAATAAATGTTATTCGTTAATTAGTTTCAAAATTTGAATTGGCATAAAAAAACTTCTCCAAGTGTTTTGCTGGATTCACCTAATTTGGTGGGGTCATCGTTTAAACAGCTTATAACACTATTCCACCACATTCCTTTATAGATACATATATAGATAAATGTATATAAATAGTATAGAACAGTATTAATATTTATATGTATTTTTTCAAGTTAAATTAATATTCAATTTTTATCGCATCATTAGACTAGTTATGACCAAAAAGTATTTGAAGAATTTTAAGATCCTGTTTCGTAATATGCATATCGGTACATCCTCACATATAAATAAATTTATATATATATATATATATATATATATATATGAATATTTATGTATAAATTAATAGATCAATCGCATATTTTATTGTGTCGTATAGTATGGAGGCGCCAGACATATTTTGAAATAACAAACAATAAAAAATTAAACCGGTTCTGGAACTTATATATGATATGCATGTGTGCACACATCTACAAACTATATATATATACATACATATATATATATATATATATATATATATACATTGGTATACCTAAATATATACATATATAATATATGGAGCGTTGACTAAGGCAACATGAAAACATGAGACGGATCTTGATAACAGTAAATTTCAAAGTACGAATAGGTATCAAACCTGAATTGTGGGCAGAACTTGATTTTGCATCCACTGGTTCCACATTCGTTACTAACTTTAGCCAGCGTGATATCAAGCAGTGCTGATATCAATTTTCACTTAAAATCCAAAATCTAAAATATGATGAGTAAAATTAGTAGTAAGTGCTATTAGAAATAGAATGATGAACTGGCTTGCCTGCTAAAATATCAGGTTAAGAATTAATCTGAAAACAGCCTATAGAACCCCACAAATTCCCCACGAATACAGTTCTGATTGATGGATGCTCAGACAAATTGTTATAAAATAGGTATCAAACCTGAATTATTGTGCCTTTGTGGTAAGAACTTGGTGTTGCATCCACAGGTTCCACATTTGTTAATAACTTCGGACAGTTTGATATCAAGCAGTAGTGAAACCAGTTTTTACTTTAAATTAAAAATTTAAAATTTGATGACTGAAAACAGCAGCAAACACTACTGGAAAAAGAATGATCAAAGAGAATTGCCTTCTATAATATCAAGTTAACATTTCACAGCACAACCATAGAACACAGTTCTGATTGATGTTCAGAAAAATTGCAATTAAATAAGGTTTTGGAACAATATACTTGGGCTTCACCGATTACAAAAACAATAATTTTGGATGAAACTCGATAAGGACTCAGACTCACTAGTTATGCAATTAGAAGGCAACTAAATGGTTGTTGTATTTCATTTTTAATATATAGTCTCATTAGGCGGCAATCCAAAGGATGTTCTTTACTAATTGTGATGATATTTTATCTTTTTAGCAGCAATTCTCAAAAAGACTATTTACATTTGGAATTTTTTTTGGACTTCTATTTTGAAGTGAAAATAGGTACCAATCATACTTGATATCAGGTTGCACCGTTTGTTTTAAACTTTGAGGGGCACAACTAGTGTAACCGCCTAAAAAAAGGTGATATTTGGGAATTTATATTAATAAAACTACTTTATCAATCATTTCAAAATTTCAAATCATTTCAAATTTCAAGGAATATATTTATACATGTTTTAAGAATACATAGCAAAATTTTTGAAGGAAAAAATTAAATATTTTTTAAGTTATCGTCGATCTCCAACGGCGCGACAAAAAGGCCCTTCACTGCTGATGTGATTCCCGTCTTCTACGTGGATAAAATTTAAAAAAAAAAAATCTCGTTAAACTAGATAATATTGTTTGTAAAATGAACTACGATAAAGAAAAAAAATAAAAAATTGACAAAATGACGGCGTTTTTTTTAAAAAAAGTGGAATTTTACCCAAATTTTTGGTCGTTTTTGGACTGCCAAAATTCGATTTTTGATTCGATCAAAAAATCGATAGGTTATTTTACGGAGAACTATATAGAGAACGTGTAAAAAAATTTGATAGTGATCGGATCATTTGTTTTTGAGTAATCGCTGCAGCAAATTCGGAAAATGCTGTTTCGAGAAAAACGCGTTTAAAGATTAAATCATCGTTATACTATAGTATATAGTATATATACTATATATATACTCTTTAAATGGCTGTGACTCAAAAACTATTTAAGATATCAATATAAAATTTTGGTATGTTATTTTTAAAGGTATAACCTATCGAAATATGGAAAAACTGAAAATTCGATTTTTTGAAAATTGCACACTAGTTGTGCCCCTTAACTTTCCAGTATTTTTTTTTCTTAAATATTTAGGAGGAAGCATAAAAGCAATAGAAAGCAGATTTTTCCTAATTTCCAAGGATATTCTATATATTTGTTGATCATTATATACAAACATAATACTATTAAAATGATTGATGTCAATAATTGAAAAACAGTTTACATTTCCTACGAGAATTACTACCTTGCAGACATCTGCGAGTGGGTTAATATTGATTATTATGAACTTGATACAATATATTGGCATTATAGAAGTTTAGAAAAATATATTTTGGCTATCTTAAATGATTATCTGTTCAACAATAGTTACTCATTTATATTCGCCCACGGAAATTTAAATTTTTAATATGCTGGATGTACTGTGATATATATTTATGCAAGAAGATAAATGCTTGGACTTGAGGTACGAGGACCCAATACTATCTTAAATGACCCATGGTTTTGTTTGCCAATAAATCATATTTAACTGCCCACATGGAAATTAATTTGGATACAGTTTTTGTTTATCATTGGAGTTCCCTGGTTTATGAATATTGGAGTTAATGTTTTTGCACAATTTCATTTCTTTTACTTAGTCTTATCAAATAACTATAGCTTTTTTGAAAATGGTGCAGCCCTTTTTGAGAGAATTTTGATGGAATATAAATTTTGGCTCACATACACACATATTTATAAAATAGAATCAGACACTTTTGAAAGCTGGAGAATTTATCGGTTTATTGGATTACAGTGAAAAAGTCATAGTTTTCACGAAAATAATATTGAAATTTCCAAAAATTTCCAAAAAATTGCCCAGGGCTGCTGTCGCAAGGGTGTAGGATTACTGGAGGCGTTGCTTTATTGAATTAGTTAGATTCTACTGCGTATGCTTTTTCCAAAGTTGGTTTCAAATGATTTAGAATGACTTGAAATGTCGAGAAAATATAAAATTTGTAAGCCGGATTTTCTAGTAAAAATAGAAAAATATTCTCATTTAGAAAATTAATTATATTTATAATAAAATTTATAAATATCATATTAGAAGTATGAAATTAATCATGGCTAAATAATATAATTTATCATTTTAACTTCTTATAAGTTATGAAAAAATTGACTAATGAGTTTATATTAATCTATTCTGTACGCGAATTTCTGCAATTCTTTATTTTTTATTATTATGACTGAAGATTTCAAGTTATGGAAAATGTAATTAACAATTTACATAAAAGTTGTTT